GTGATCGGCGCTTTGCGAATATTACTTTTATCATGTTTTTTAATTTAGAAATATGTAGCAGATAAATACTTAAGTAAAGTATTAAATCATCATATTGATATGTCTGCTTAAAATAATTTTATAGCCTTGTCTACGAACTTTCCGGACAGCCCTCGTATATAGGGAAACTGCTGACCAGTTAGATATATAGAGAAAAATATATTTTGCCGTGAAATTGGAATTCATTTTTATTATGTATGCAAATTCAATTTATTTTATAAAATTATGTCGACATTTAATTAAGTAAAAACACTGCTGACCAATTTAATGTTATTTCAAATTGATTTAAGCCGTAAAACTCTTCTTATTCTATATGGTTAGCAAATTTAACGCTCTTTACATTCAGGCGAGAAAATGCTGACCAGTTAAATATATACACATGTAGTAGAATCTGCTGACCAGTTAGATATATAGGGAAACTGCTGACCAGTTAGAAATATAGAAAAAAATATATTTTGTCGTGAAATTTTAATTCATTTTATAATGTACGAAATTCAATATATTGTATAAAATTTTGTCGACATTTAATTAAGTTAAAACACTGCTGACTTATTTAATATTAATTCAAATTGCAATTATTGCTTTTGAAAATACATTTTTTTTCCGTTACAAGATTTTTCTATTGAAATATCACTAACAAGAGATTTTGATAAAACTCATAACATCATAATTCTTTATAAAACATTAATTCAATTTTTTGCACATCTTTAGAGGTATAAAAAGCTGTTTAATATATCCTTTTAAAATCACGGATTTATATTACATGTAGTAATGTAAATCCGTGTTAAAATGTATGATATTATGGTACTTTAAATGTATATATTAATTTACATTTGTAGTTTATAAACATAGTCATATAAATGCAAAAATTAAAAATATAATTAAAAGAATAAAAGTAATTTCCCATCTTTTTATTACCCGCTACGGCGTGTTTATATAACTTCACACCTTCAATGTTTCCCTTCTTTGTGTAACTGGTCAGCATTTTCCGATAATCCTTCTTTATTTAACTGGTCAGCAGTTTCCTATATATCTATATCGTCAGCTAATTCGTCAGCAGTTTAGTGCGACCCCTTCCATGATCGCACCGTTTGTCGGTGAGTTAGTAAATTCTGACCAAGCACCGGTAGACGCACGACAATGCGATACGATATTATTCCAAATGTCGCTTCGCATTGTCGAGTGTCGCTTCGCGTTGTCGAGTATCGCTTCGCGTTGTCGAGTGTCGCTTCGCATTGTCGAGTGTCGCTTCGCAATGTTGAGCGTCGCGGTGTAAAAATCATAAAAATAACGCGACATTTACTCGACATTTTAAAAATGTCGCTTCGCGATGTCGAGTGTCACTTCGCATTGTCGAGCGTCGTATCGCATTGTCGCGTTGTCGTTTCGCATTGTCGAGTGTCGTGGTATGCACTTCTACCAACCTCGACACTCGACAATGCGAAGTGACAATGCGACAACGCGAAGTGACATCGCGACAACGCGAAGTGACATCGCGACAACGCGAAGCGACGCTCGACAATGCGAAGCGACACACGACAACGCGAAGCGACATTTCTTAAATGTCGCCCTTTTTTACCGCGACATTTCTAGGCGACAGTGCGACATATCGTTTGACACTGTCGAGCGTCGCTTCGCATTGTCGCATATCGCTTCGCGTTGTCGAGCGTCGCTTCGCATTGTCGCGATGTCACTTCGCATTGTCGTGTGTCTACCCTTAGACGCGACGGACGACATTCTAAATGGCACGATAAGGACACCGTAAAAACTACTAAATCAGCCGCTGAAAAGAAGAAATGTTTGAAAAAGACCACATTTAAAGGCATATCAAAGGGCATTAACAGAAAAAAAGAGAAAGCTGATTCATAAAAGCCATTCAACCATGAAGTTTCAAACTGTTATAGCTTACAGAAAAACAAAAAAAAAACAAAAATAAGCATAACAAACAAGGGGAATTTGGTATAAAATTTCTTCCGGTAGTGGCATGAAAGGTACAAGTTCAAAAAATATAAACTCTAAAGAAAGGTACAGTGATCGGAAGAAGCAAGTGCTTGTAATTGCAATCAGGGTACACAGTGAATCGAATACACCCGCAAGACCCGGTACAATGATTTCGTTTATCTACTGTGTTATTAACACCTACAATTTTTAATCACATGATGACAATTATAAACTTATCTAATCAAGACTTAATTCAGGTAACACATAGCTAAGTCGTGCGAACGATATAATTACATGGTGCGCATGAGATACTTTGTCGTGCGTAGGAGTACTTATTCGTGCGCAAGAGGTAATTAAGTTGTAAGCATGAGATATTATGTAGTGCACTCGAGTTACTAAGTCGCGCGAACGAGTTACTAAGTCGTGCGCACTAGATAATAAAGTCGTGTGCATGAGTTACTATGTGTTGCGAACGAGATGAATACTAGTAAGTCGTGCGCACCGTGGCATATACACACCTATGCTTAATAAGCTTCACCTTTGACCTTATGACTTGAAAATGAGAAGTTGTCATCTACTTGCCTGCCAAGTAACATAAACAATTGCTTATTTATTAAGGATTATACATTATGTGTCTCTGTGGACTTGACATTATATCTAATGACATCGAAATCAATAGGATTTTCTACTGGCCATTTAGGAACTAAAGGCAATCGATAAATAAAAACATACTCATGTCACCTTTGAGCCACCATACTTAATTGGTATACATGTATTGGTCAAATTCTAACAATTTCAAATCCATTGTATTTCATAGCAAAACTGATTTACAATGATGGTAGCATACAACTATTTGCAGCGACTTTAAACTCACTGAAATTTTAGTTTATAGGTACATGCACTGTATAAGGTTCATGACATGCGAGAGAAAAACTTCGTTTACCTTAACTTTTTATTCTGTTTTATAAAAGATGATGTTTTTCTAATTCGAATATCAAAGTTTAAATAGATTATTTTAAAGAAATTAGCGGATAGGGTACTATACTACAGATAATAATGTACAACACGTTGTGTCTGGTTTTTACGTCTATTCAAGACATCTAAAGTTTATATAACAAAACATAGGAAGTGACGTACTTTAACGTCACGCATGCGTTGGCGTCATTTAACGGCACATGAATATGAGCGCAATTCCCAACAGAAATAATATCGTAAAAGAGTCAGGCAAGTTTGTATATAAACAACGTATGTATCTTCTTTCACATCTGTTGCTGTAACTGTACTAAATTGTTACGATATATATTTGTAAATTTTTTAAAAGAGCGAATGGCGCATGCACGAAATCATTGAACGGTTAAAAACCTATTTAAAATACCTCCATAATATTTCTTGATAAATTTTATTCTGTTTACATATATAGATCTTTATTCATGTGTGTTAAATAACAGAGACAATCTATGTGACAATTCTTTTGAGAAACGACCATGAGATTATGAAAAAAAAAACACATAAATTTTTTTTACTGTTAATAAAACATTATACATATATATATTACACCCTTTAAAGGCACACTAAACCTAAGGAATCTATATATTTTTAATTCTTTAGAAATGTCAAACATGTGTTAAATAATGTTTTAATAATGGATTAAGAGCTTGTTATATATTTAACAAATGAAATAAGCAGCAGAAATGTGTCTTCTTAAAAGTAGCAAAAGTAGTATTGTAGTATTTTGACTTCCAAACAAAATACTACATCACTTTAATTATATTAATTGCCAACAGAGCTAACGGAACAAAAGGTAGTTCATGCTGTTGTGTAATATGATATGTTTTCTCGTTCAGTCTAGTCACGTAGGTTTAACTCGGTGTCTAGCATGCTTTGACATGTTCAGGGTATCGCATTGTAACATGGCCGGCAATTGGCTGAAAAAGTTCAGGGAAAACCGTATGATTCAATTAATACATGAGGTGATTGCATGAAAATGGGGTATTTTTAAGTACTATAACTAATTTAAAAAGTAACACTACATTGTTTTCTGAAGAAAATGAAATATTTCATGAGTCTCTATGATCATTTTGACTTGGATATTTGCATTTATAAAAAGTGTATGTCAGTCCTGTGATCAGCAGAAATTTTCAATGAAACTTCCCTTTGAAGTCATTTTGCAAAAATTTTGGTTAGCTACCCCTGTATATTTTTATGTGTCAAGTTTTTCATTCTGCTAGAAAAAATCACCTCTTTAGCATGAAAACTCAATTTTAAGGTAGGATTAGGGACCATCTCTTATATTGTAAGTCTATGGGAATATCAATGTGAGTGTCTGACCACATGTGTAGTTAGAATAAAGCTTTTGTTTATTCAATGGTGAACCATCGACTATTCAGGTGATAGCACACATGTACATGGTAAATTAGTATTATTTTGGGACTGAAACAAGGTACAAAAGACATAAAAATGATAACATTTCTGAGAAAATTATTGATGTATTTTCCGTACAGTTATATATAATACACTGCCCAGCTGATCTGTGGCAATAAAAATTGTTCACATTCGACGTAACGAGTGATTCATTGCAATGTGTGACTCTGTTTTGGGTTTTGTTTTCTTTGTAAATCATAGGATAGAAATATGTCACCTAGGTGCTTATATTATTCTTGTTTCTAGTGTACATATTAGATGCATCTCAAATGCGGCAGATTTAGAAAATGTGTAGGAAAATATAAACACGGAAAGATCAAACTACTCCTAACTGCAGTTCGCCTATCAACAGCACTATATATATATATAACAAGAAAAATAACTATTCATTGATAGAAACAGCAGACTTTTTAATAGCAAATGATTATCCAATTTTCTTCATAAAGTCTGGGATACAGTCGCTTTTATGTAAACTGTAAGAGGAATTTGAACAATATATTATTGAAAAGTATAAACATTATTCGTAAAAAATACTCAAGGTTGATTCATTAACCACGTTCTTTGGGTATTTACACGTTTTCAAATATTAAATTTACCAAACATTGTGAAATGATCGATCGATTGATGTGTTATCTTGGTTAGTACTGCGTGTTAACATACAATACCAATCCAGGAAGTATAAATGAAGTAGTTTTCCATGAATAAGACAGTATTTCTTTTAAATTTAATTTGTTAAAACTGTATTTTCATGTGAACGGAACAAAAAGGAATAATGGCGACAAGTATTACTCTGCAGTTACTGGACTATACTGTAGACCAAGAGTTTAGTAAGGCAAAAGCATTATGTGAGGAAGCAACTGTGGAAATTAACACACTCGTAGAAAAAAAGGGTAAACAATTCACGGCCAGTCAAACTGAAGCTATCGAAAAAGTTCGAAAAGTAATAAACAATTTGGTTACCAACCAGACAAAGTCCGCTAAAGCAAATGCATCGTCAACAACTTCGAAGTTTACTCAGCATATCGTCGCAACCTATTTTAAGGTGTGTGTTTATTGTTTTATTTTAATCTTGTTTCTGTTTTATTTCGTTTTAAACTTCATCGTATAAGTATAGCAATATGGTGTAGAAAGAATAAGCCTTGAACTTGGGCTTTTATTATGGTACTGGATACGTGTACTTTGTGTAAAATATGATTCATGTCATATTAACAATAAAAAGAATTCAGGTCAGAAAACAATAAAAGTACTTTGGACAGGCAATAAAAATCAAATACTAGATAGGCAGTAAATTGAAAAAAAAGCATTCAAATAACTAATAAATACCATATACATGTACTAGTGCTAATTTATAGAAAAAAGAACAAAAGTAAAAGCTGTTACTTCATTAGCATAAAGTTAGCAGGTCTTTTTTTCTCAATACAAACAACAAAGTGAAATGATAATAGTGTGTGACCTGTATAAAAGTATTTAATTTGTTCTGTATAAAAGCAAAAGTAATTGAAAAAAAATCATTCAGGAGAATAAACAATTTGCTATATCATCTTAAATACATGTATACAGGGGCAAACTTGTCAACATGAGTGAAGGAAACTGTGAAATATATGGTATAAACTAAAAAATAACACCTATAAGATTGGTTAAAAGCCTTAATCAAGTGCATCTCATTGATGCAAGAACACTCAATAAAATGTAGCCATTTTTTGTAATGTAAAAATGGTAGATAACTTTGTGGAGAGGTAAGAGTTAGAGGAACGTTACATGATAACTGGTTTTTTAAGCCTTCAGACATGTGGTGTGTCTAAAATGGATTTATGTAGAACTATAAGTTATACCAACATGTTTGCAATCGCAGCTTTTTAAGTATTAATATATTTTAGGTATACAATTGTAAAAATTGTGTTTTTTCTTCCAATAAGCAGAAAGGCGAAGCATCAAGTCAAAACTATGAACAAAAGCCCATCACTGATCAGGGCATGCATGGAAGTATCCACAAAAAGAAACATGATACGAATAGACAGTCGGACGGACCACGAGGGGCACAACAGATTGATGCAAGTGAAGAATATAAGAAAAATCAAGCAAGGTAAATAAGTATAAAGAATTTTTAAATATATTGATATTTCACTCACGACATTTTTACACAATGTGTTATCCAATGTTCTGAAATTAGTACAGGTGTGTATTTACATAAAGTTCTTTCATATTTAGTTTATAAAAAAATATTTTAGTTCGATTGTGTAGGAAGCTATACATTTATTGAAACACGCTCGAACCAACCAGTACTAAGTAAGTAATGCGTGTAAAGTTTCTTGCTCACGGAAACAACGGGGTAATTGAACCCACGCGGCCAGCAGTCATTAGATTACCTGTCCAACACGTTAACCACTCGCCAACGTCTCCACTTTGATAACAAAACCTAACATAGGTTTATAGATAAATCGTATGCAAACAGCACATTGATTAAACAATAAGATTTTACATGCATGCATAAAAGTATGTAATGAGAGCATATACAAAAAATGAGAAATGTATCAATGTAACGAAGATAAATACATAGCCTACATATATGTGGTAGATTTTGATATTTCTAAATATTCATATGCAATTATGATTATAAAAATATTAAACATGGTAATTCCTATTTGATAAAATACAGTATTTGAATTTAGTATTTTACATTTTCATATATCAAACATTGGAAATAGAAATTATAAAAGAAATATTTAATAGATCATGCTTGATATATAACAATTGCTTTTTTCACAATTTGTACAAGTATATTTGGCTAAATAAGAGGGGTTGTAATTTTTGTTTTTAACTCTCAGTAAACAAGCAAGCCATGCACTGAGGCTAAACAACCCTGACATTGCTGACCTTAGTGATGCGAACAGACCAACCAAAATAGCTGAAAAATTTTCCGAGCTCTATGATAATGAGTGGACAGAGGCGTTTGAATCACTTTCTAAAACAGAGAGTTCGGAAAAAAGAAACATTGAAACCCTCCTAAACATTGTCACGGTAACAACATATTAAGACTAATCTTAATTTCTTTTGATCGACTTTTTACTTTTGTCATATTCTTGAATAGTGTTGATATCATCTTTATGCAGAAAAGACACAAGACTGGCGTTCAAAAGTTTCGTTTCTATATTTCTAGATTTTTGTCTTAGTGAGAACTGATACAGATAGCCCGAACATAGGTGGGTATAAAAGCACAAGACAATACTACTATTCCATAACATTGACGTTCATGTAACATTATTGTGGTGTTATAATATTAAGAAAGTATTGCTAAATACCATTATGAGTAATCTTTATTTATTGATAAACTGAAAACGTGTAATATAAATTCATGTTCTAAGAGACGTAAAATCCTGATTACTTTTACTTTAGGGTGCGTATGAGTTTTGTCGGGTAGAAGCAGATAGGCAAATTGACAATCTACAATCAAACTGTATAGAAGTTTTTAAAGGAGAAAAAGTATCGCCATCCCGAGTAAGACCTGATTTTCTGTTAGCTTTCAAACGAATTAATAATCGAGTGTGTTTATTTGAATAAATTTGTTTTATTAACAAAAGCCTTTGGAATAACCTCATAGGCGAGCATCATAAGTTATTATAGTTCTCATTTTATATAAAACGTCATATAATTAATTCATTAATATTTTTATTTAATTCTAGAAGTATACAGATCCGCCAAATGATAAAGGTAGAGAATACCTAGTTCAATACCGGAAAGGCATCGCCCAACTTTCTTTGCAGAATTTGCCGGTAATATGTTACATTTGGAATATTGTGTTTAAAGATCATTTTCAAACTGAAGTTTTCGCGGTTCTAAACAAATATTATATGAAAGTCACTCGTAATAATAAAACTATTAAAAGTCGCTATTGTTTAAGATATTAACACTATTCAAAGAAGTGAATAGTTTTATGACAGCAAAAACAATCTCTGTACAATATGTATCAATTATTTTACTGATCAATTTTCTTTCCTATTTCACATAATAAACGCCTAAGATTAATTATGTATCTTTAAATTGAAGGGCAAGTTTAAGAATGTGATGAAAATCAAATACAATGACGAGAGAATAATAGCTTATGTAGATAAAGCCGTCGAGCTGACATGGTGGATGGCGGTTCAAGACCCTCCAGTTTACATGTGCCCGACTACAACACATTTCGATAGCAATCTTTACAAGCCTTATACTCAGTCCGGCAAGACACCAGACTTCTTCGTGTGGCCTGCTCTCAAATTATATAAGGATGGTGGACTGCTTATGAAAGGTGTGGTACAATACAAAAACTAAGAAAGGATACACAGATTCCATGGCATTTTTTATGTCGGGAGTGAGGAATTTTCCGTCCATGACGTTTGTAAATAGCAATTTAGCACAATGACAAAAATGGATTTGTTTGATAAGTTAAGATTTTCTTATGCGTTACAATTGTTTACACGATTCTAACGAGGAAAAATAATGACAATTATGGTAGACAGCATTGTAAACGTTGTATTAATTGTGTATTAATAGTAGATTAATTGTGTATTAATAATGTAAAGTTTGCAGACTTCTTGTTGATTATTCACCAAAATGTGGCCGCTTTAAAAAAAGTAAATGCCAGCGACTAATAAGATATTTAATGACTTCTTGTCCCAAACATTACGATTATTTACGCTTCAAATGACTGGATGTAACTGTGTTCAAATTCAATATATTCAGTCACTTATTCATTATTAGAGACTGGATGAAAAGAATAGGAATGATACTTAAAATGAAAGACTTACAACAAAATCCAGAACACGCGATTTTTACATCTGCACCTCATGTTCACACAAATACTTTACTTTATATTAACTTTACTGTAGGAAGCGTATGCCGGAGTAACATAAAATTTTGACCCTGTTGACACATTGACCCCAAGAGTCAATTCTAAACGTTGAAAATTGACTTTGGTTATTTTTCAACATTGAGAATTGACCGTGTCAACATTTTAACTTTAAATTTTGATCAAAATTCGTTTAGATTTAATCAGTTTTTAAATTTTGATCGAAAATTGGGTCATTTTTAACGAGTTAAATTGAAGTTAAAAGTTATTTATCGTCAAATTGTGATAGGCAAACACTTGAACCAAAAACTTGAAACAAAAAGTCCAACAAGCTTCTAAGAAATAACTTCACAATGCCAAGTCCAGGCTCAAACTGACAACTCCTCGGAAATCGGCAATATCATTTTTTGATGGACAGGGAACTGTTAACTTAATCTAAAGATCCATAATTACTAAAAATCATTGTTTATTGTTTGGAATAAAATATACAATTTTACAAAATAACGTATTTATAATTATATTAAACAAAGTTATCTGTTTCTATTTTCACAGATTTAACGTTTTTATTATTATTATTACTTTTATTCCTTCTTTCTTTTCTGTGGCCACAAATTGATATTATCATGTCCCGAAAAACGAAAGTATTGAGTAATCCGAAGCGTGACGTATTTGGTCCTCCCTTTTTATATGAAATAGTTGTAGTGAAGTGAGGATGTATTTTTGATACTCAGGTGAAACACTTTTTATTTTATACTTATCATCATTCTCTTTTAAATCAACACTATACTATACAGATCTAAAGAAACAACTTAAAGAAATACGGTATGCATTTTGGGTTTGTTTGTTTTTTCTTCTTATATACCTTACACCACTTTACAACAGTTTTTCTTTTATACAGCGGTGAAAAAAAGTAAACCAAACTTGTCTGTATCAGTATAATCTGTTTTCCGCAAATAACCTCAAACGTCTCAGATGAATGACGTGTTGGCCCGCGATATTAACTTGTTTTAGTGTGGATAAAAAAATGACACAAACTAGCTGACTGAAATGTCTGAACGGAGCGAGTTTTTGAGTATTGTGAGTTTTCATATACACATTATCATTAAAAGTACTTAAACATGTTTGCCATAAAATATAAATTCATAAGAATCAGGTCTAATCGAGTGTTCCCACCGACAAGCTTCGCCTATGACATATCAGTTCCAGGTATGAAAATCTGAAGAAAAGGTTGATCCCTCGGCTTTAACAACAATAAAATTACACGAAAGTTGCAGACCTGGTTTGATTCCGGAGTCTGTTCATAATTGAAATGGGAAAGCGCAGCATTACTCACGCCCCAAGCACGGACTTAACAGGTATTCAATCTTCAATACTTTACGCGCTGGAATCAATGATCCCTGGGCAACTTATAGCTGACACGCGACACCCGCACCTTCTGTTGTAAAGTTAAAAATCTGTGGAAAAACCTACTTCATCAGCTATATAACAGGAAGATCAACCCCGCAGTAGCTGCTTCTGGAGCGACTTTCCGCATTTATTAAAAACGCTGGTATATCTTTTAATTATTATTGGCAATAGATGGTAAAAAACTGCTTTCATTAGGATATATCGGGGATGGCGGAGAAACATAAGTATATATACAATGTATACTGCATGTAGTTCACCATGTAAACAGTAAATAGCATTCAATAATATATACCATGTATCCCATTGTTTTTTCTAGAGAATTGTTAAAAATATACAACTATCAATCAATGAAAGCTAATTATTTTACGTTATTGGTCCAGTCACTTAGACCTATTAAACATTACCTGTATTTGTTCTATGTTCTATTTGTATTATTTGAAATTAAATACATTTGACATTTCACTTAGAGGTTTACACTTTATCAAAACAATGAAATAATTAAAAACAACACATTGCTACTTGCAAAAGCACGATTTTCAGGTGATTGTTATGCTCCATTCACACACTTAAATTCCACATTTGGTTCCAAGTCAACATGCAAGATTGGAGTTGAATGTTTTCCTTTTTACATGTATTAAAGGAAAACCTTTGACCCCGAGAATAAGGGCCAATTTTGACCTCAGAACCACACTTTGGACAATCTTGGTATGATGACTAATGCCAAATATCTAACTCTTAGATTTAAATAATATACAAGTATTGGTCAATACCTATTAATTTCCAAGTAATTATATTTTACAGGAAATAAAAGATAAGAGAAAACAACCATCTGCTGGGCTTAAAACTCACTTAATTTATAGTTAAGGGATACTATACAAGGTTCATGTCACGCGAGAGAAAAACTTAAAGAGTATATTTACTTTATTCTATTTTATCAAAGATTATATTTTTCTAATTCGAATATCAACGTTTGATATATTTAAAAATGATATCGTAAGAGTGTCATATAGGCTTGTAAGTTATAAAAACTGTACTAAATTGTTCGATAAATAAATTTATATTTTTCCGGAAGGGATCCATTCTTTATAATTTCGTACCGGTTGTTGTTAAAGGAACCATAGTTGTTAGAACATTTATTTTCTAAAAGTGGTACAACACTGTTGAAAGTGGGTAAAATGTAAAGATATATATCTGCATTTTGTAGTTTACAAATGTATTATTCAAACTTTGAACAGAATGTCCTCCATATTTCCTGTATAATAGAAATATATTTGCATATTTTTAAAAGGATTGGCGTATGCACGAAATCATTGTTAAACGGTTAAAAACTCTACTGAAAATAGCCCAATAATATTTTTCCGATATATATTCTGTTAGCATAAATATACATGAGTGTTCTGTTATGTTCTGTTCTGTTAAATAACCGAAAATTTATGTGACAACTCTTTTGAGAATCGACCATTGTGTGTTAATCAAAAAATATTTCACAGATATAGATTTACATCCTTTAAATTGTTGATGTATTTTCCGTACAGCTAAACTGTTATCTGATCTGTTGTAATAACGTTTTTTCGCCTTTAATGTAACGAATGTTATCTTTGTATTCTTTCACTACAATATGCAACTTTGATTTTTTTCTTTATAATTTTCCATACAACACATTTAATCAAATATATCACCTGCGTGTTTTAATAAATTGAGTTTCTAAGATAGATGGTAACTTAATAAAACCCGTTGCATTTCAAGTGCCTCATGTTTGGAAATGATCAGGAAACAAATACGGAATAATCTAATTACTATTAGCAGCTAATCGCCTGTGAACAACACTATATATTTAACAAGAACAATATTTATTTATTCATTCTTAGAAACAGCAGACATACAAGTATGTATCTTAAAGTGGTTCTTCACAATTAAAGGTTTTTTTTCAATACCAAAATTTTAATGATCATCTTATTTACTATTTTCTTCAAACAGGCTGTGATATTGATCCTTTTACAGTCGCTTTTATGTTAATAACATACATGTATTATTGAATGTTATATAAACATTAACTTAATAGTAAAAACGGGTTAGCTTGTTAACGTTCAATACAATCGAAATCAGGAAGTTTAAATAAAGTAGTTTTTCATAAAGAAGAGATTATTTCTTTTAAACTTGTTGAAACTAAATTGTAGTGTGAAAACAGAATAAAAAGGAATGATGGCAACAAGTATAACTCTGCAGTTACTGGACTATACGATAGACGGGTATTTTAGTAAGGCAAAAGCATTATGTGATGAAGCAACTGTGGAAATTAACACACTCAAAAGAAAATACGGTAAACATTTCACAGACTGTCAAACACACGCTATCGAAAATGTTAGAAGAGTAATAAACCATTTGGTTACCAACCAGACAATGTCAGCTAAAGTAAATGCATTGTCAACAATTCCGAGGTTTTCTCAGCATATCGTCGAAAACTATTTAAAGGTTAACATCTTTAGTTTTCATTTTGTTTTTGCTTCTGTTTTATTTTGTTCTTAACTTCATTGTCAGTATAGAAATATGGTGTGAAAAGAATAAGCTTTGAACTTTTGTTTTTTTGTTGTTGTGCTTTATACGCGAACGTCATGTAAAATATGATGCATGGAGGTGTCATTTTAGCAATAAAGATACTTTTGGCAGGCAACTTGGTAAGCCATGTCGCAGTGAATTGAACCAACATTTAAATAGCTAATCATATTTCAAAATACTCGTGCACAATTTATATAAAAAAGAACAAAGGTGAAAGCTGTTACTAAATAATCATGAAGTGAGCAGGTCTTTTTCAATGCAAATTACAAACCTGTAAGTTCTAATAGTATGTGATCTGTAAGAATTTATTTTATTTGTTAAACGCAAAAGTAACTGGAAGAAACATTTAGGAAAATAAACAATTTGCTTAGGTTTCTAAATACATGTATAAAAGGGCAAACTTATCAACATGAATGAAGGAACTGCGTAATATATTTTATAAACTAGCAATTACAGCTTAAAGATTTGTAAAAAAAAATCTCATTCAATTGAACTTTATTGAGGAGGCTGGAACATTCAAGGAAATGTGGCTTTATCGGTAAACTTGTACAAAATCATGCAGTTTTCAACATTACATATATTTTGGCACTTCCTTCTTCGAAAAGAAATTCATATAGTTTCATGTTTTGCTATCTACCGCTATGAAACATTGTTTGCATTGCTTTAAGTACTTTGTAATATTTCATTCCTATAAATGTATGTTATAAATACTTTCAAAACAAAATAATTTGTGCTAAATACTTCAAATGCTATGCTTAAAAGATATTATGGCACACATATTTTAGTTGTAGGTAGTTAATTTAATTGTGCAATCTGTCTTTAATATAAAGTACTAATTACCTTGGTACACTTAGACATATTCAAAGGCTCAAGTATATCATATGAAATGAACAGGTATAAATTATTTCAGAGAAAGCCAATGAAGGAGGTTCATCCATCCGATCGAACTAGCGGCATTCAAAACCACTACATCGATGAGCAGAAAGGCGAAGATAGTCGACACTGTGAACAAAATATGGTTAGTGGTCGGCGCATGCATACGAAAAGACAGTCGGACGGACAACGAGCGGCAATTGGAGATAATAATCAGACAGAAACACATCAGATCGGCACACATGAAGAATATCAAAAAAATCAAGCTTGGTAAACAAGTAAATAAATAACGAAATGTATTAATATTCACTTACAACATTTTAACACAATGTCTCTCATTCAATGTTCTTAAATAAGAATAGGTATGTATTTTCATAAAATTCTTTCATATTGAGTTTATACAAGTTTACTTTAGTTCGATTGTGTAGGAACCATTAAGCTTATTGAAACACACTCAAATCAAACAGTACTAAGCAATGAGTGTAAAGGTTATTACTGACAGAAACAACGGTTTGTCCCTTGAATCTTTTGAACCCACGCGGCCAGCAATCATTAAATTACTAGTCCAACACTTTAGACATTCGCAAATGCACCCACGTTCATTATTATCACACATTGGAAATAGAAAATTATGAAAGAAATAATTTTTATCTCGATTTTAATATAACAATTGGTTTAAACAATGTATACATGTATATTTGGCTAAATAAGAGGGGTTGTAATAATTGTTTTAACTCTCAGTAAAAAGAGCAATCCATGCACTGAGGCTAAACAACCCTGACATTCCTGACCTGAGTGATACGAACAGACCAACCAAAATAGCTGAAAAATTTTCCGAGCTTTATGATAATGAGTGGACAGAGGCGTTTGAATCACTTTGTAAAACGGAAACGAGTTCGGAAAAAAGAAACATTGAAACCCTCCTTAACATTGTCCAGGTAACAACATATTCAGACTAATCTTAATTTCTTTTGATCGACTTTTCACTGTTGTCAAATGCTTAAATAGTGTTGATTTCATTTTAATGCAAAAAGACACAACAATGAAGTTCAAATTTTTTTTTTTTATATTTTGTTGTTGTTGTTCTTTATATAATATAATAAAAACTGATGCAGATAGCCCGAACCAAAGTAGGTATATAGGCACAAGACAATATGCAGATAGCCCGAACCAAAGTAAGTATATAGGCACAAGACAATATTTCATAACAGACAATTTAAGCCGTTCAACACGTAACATTATTGTACTGATATAAAATCATGAAAGTATTGCTAAATACACGTCACCTTTATGTCCGTGTAATAGTAATCTTTATTTATTGATAAATTGAAAAAGGTGTAATATAAATTCATGTTTTAAGAGACGTAATATCGTATATGCTTCTACTTTAGGATGGGTATGAATTTTGCCGGGTAGAAGCAGATAGGCAAATTGACAATCTACAATCAATTTGCATAAGATTTATTAAAGGAGAACAATTACCGTCATCCCGAGTAAGACCTTATTTTCTGTTGTTTGCTTTCAAATGAATTAATAATCAAGTGCGTTTCTTTGATTTTATTTGTTTTAATAATAAATGCCTTCGGAATAAAACACTTTGGCGAGCATCATATGTTATTATAGTAACAATTCGTCCGTTCTCATTTTACAAGATTATAAGTCAAATAATTAATTCATTGATATTCTTATTTTATTCTAGAAGTATACAGATCCGCCATATGATAAAGGTAGAGAACACCTAGTTCAGTACCGGAAAGACATCGCCCAACTCTCTTTGTCGTATCTGACGGTAATGTATTGCAGTTGGAAGATTGTATTCAAAGATCATTTTCAAACTAAAGTTTTAGAGGTTATATGTTATGTGGGAGTCACTCGTATCAATAAAATCACCACAAGTCGCTATTTTTTATAGATATTTACACTATCAATGATATAGGTATATTACAACAATAACAATACTTCATGTATCAAATATTTTATTAATCACTTTTAATTGCTAATTTACATAATAAACGATACTTACTGTCATGGTTGATGTCAGTCCTTAGATCAATTATTTATCTTTTATTCAAAGGACAAGTTTAAGAGTCAGATGAAAATACAATACAGTGACAAGGGCATTATAGCTTATGTAGATAAAGCCGTCGAGCTGACATGGTTGATGGCGGTTCAAGACCCTCCAGTTTACATGTGCCCGACTACTACACATTTCGATAGCAATCTCTACAAGCCTTTTACTCGGCCCGGCAAGACACCATACTTTTTTGTTTGGCCTGCTCTCAAATTATGTGAGGATGGTGGACTACTTATGAAAGGTGTGGTACAATACAAACACTAAGGAATCACTATTACATAGATGACATGGCATGTTTAATGTCAGCAGAGAATAACTTTCTGTCCATGACGTACCAAGACTATTTTGATTTTGTAAATAGGTAATTCACATAATGAAAAAATGCATTTGTATGATAAGTTTAGATTTTTTATGTGTTATGACTTTTTACAAACTTTTAACGAGGCAAAATAATGCCAATTATGTTATACAGCAGTGTAGGGAGTATAGTATAAATTGCATATTAATTGTGTATTAATATTATAAAATTTGCAGACTTGTTGATGATTATTCACCAAAATATGGCCGCAGTAAAAAATGTAAATGCCAGCGACAAAGTATATTCATAAAAGTCTTGCCACAAACATTACGATAATTGACGTTACAAATGAATGAATGTAACAGAAAAGTTTACACACAAACACAGTATTGATAATTTACGATTTTTACTTTACGAAACATATGAAGTAAATGTATATGCCGGATAAAGTAAAGAAAAAGGATATATATATATATATATATATATATATATATATATATATATATATATATATATATATATATATATATATATATATATATATTAAGCGATATAAACTGAAATTATGTTATTATTTGCCAGCATTGTCTCATATAGCTGGTTGCTTTTTGTTGATGTTTTTTTTTTTTTTTTTGGGGGGGGGGGGACAATCTGAGTTATAATGCATTTGACCTTAACCCCTCCAAAGTGTAATTTGTCTAAATGAATAAGCATATTTACGAGTCTTTATCCACTTGATATTGATTTTGTTTTATCGAGCCCGTAAAACTTGGTATGCTTCCACGAAAGATCGGAACAAGGAAGTTAAACGTTTGCCTGGGTATTTGATTCAACTATTTAGTTGATAACGTTAAATGTTTAACTATTCAACGTCTACACTCGGTTAACATTATCAATAAGAACTTCAAGTTTAGATTATAATAACAGACAAAATGGAGGATATAAAGTTGAGTTCAACTATTTGGAAAGTTATTTTCTGTGTGGAGAAAAGAGATATGACAAACGCGACCAAGCTGTGTAGTGATGCAAGGAAAGAATGTGATCGGTATTACAGCACGGTCAACCTGCAAGGTACAAAAGCGATTGATCGTTTAAAAGAATTTATTACAACAGTCGAAAAAGAAGAAAAGAAAAATTCTAATATTATTGGAAAACAATTGCAGACAGCTAAAACAGATTTCGAAAAAGTCATTCTGCCCTTCCTTAAAGAGGTCAGTTACTCGTATTTTTTTATATTTTCAAAATTTCTTCTTTTTTTTCAAATAAATGATTTATCTATTTAACATGAAAATGTACATATGTTTTGATAGTGAATAGTGTATACAAAAACGCTTTTATATGCGGAGAGGTAACAGGTCGATACATACTCAATAATACGTACAAAATATATATGTTTGATTATTAACTGCATTTATTTACCTTACTTTACTTTTGTTACATCGAATGGCTGTTTCAGAAGCAATACACGTTTTCTCTTTCACTTTGAAACACATATCTAGATGCCGAGTTAATGTTTTGTTCGTATTGTTTGTAAAGTACACAAGAAAACTTGGAGTGTGGTCAAAAAGTTGGTGAAAATGGTATATAATACATATAGATTTGATGTAGAACAATTAGATGGTGTTTTCACACGTCAACAAGATTTACACTACAAATTCCGTTAACTTGATACATTTATTTTCCCATATACCAATTGGAGTTATCTTTACTATTATTATAATTGTAACACGTGACTCAGAAATTTTCAACAGCGCTTTAAACAGGAAAAGATCTTATCATGAGGTACATTTCCTATAAGAGAAAAATAGTGGCCTTTCTTTTTCCAGTTTCAACCTCTAGGGTCAGCACTAGAGTAACTATGAGCACCAAAGAATTAGTTGCTTTTTACCTAGAGTGCTTATCGCGCTTGACTCCTCAATTTGAATGAGTAGTAAAGAAAACAATATCTTGTAAGCGGCGAAAGTTTTTGCTAACTGGGAAATTCATCAACATCGAAGAAAGAGAGACAATATTTAAGCGTTTAACAAACTTAAAGTATGATTAAAAAAATAATACAGACCTATATATAACACTGCAGGCCTTACACACTATCCACAAGTAGGATATTGTCATAAATGGAGGACAAAACGAAAATTAATGCAGAATATTATGATAAGCTCGGATAAAGCGTAACAATGAATTTGTGTTTTGATTTCTTATTGAATCATATAGTTCATTGATTGTTTTATGAATGTTAAATCAAAGAATAAATAAAAATAACTTCATATGTTCACGTTTAATGTACGTTCAATTGTTTGGGGGAATAAGATAAATATTGATAAATACTTATCACCTATTATGTGTGATTGTGATTCTGCAGATTTGGATGTTCGACAGAACGGTACACTATCCCTTTATTATGGTTAGTGTCACAATTTTACTCATTAACTAGGGTTAATGTTTACAATTACGTCTTACGAGGGCCAATGTTTTAAATATACTTATGTATACTAAATATGATTTCTGATTTACTCACAGAAGTTTATTTGAATAATTTGCCAGAAGAATATCATTCATTGTGATCTTCATTATTTGGCAGTTTGGATCACTGAGTACGAACACTTAAGCTAAAATAAGTTTCTAGTTTCTACTAAGTGTTCTTGTCAATTACTCGAGCACAAGAAGAAAATTACGAAAGACTTTCCTTCGGTGAACTTTTCATTCATGACTCTCATGTTAAAAGTCATGACACATCATTTGAACCTATGGAGGAATTGCTGAATTTTTAAATTATCAAATCCCTGGCTATGCGTGGTTACTGGTTAATCCCTACTTAATCACCATCCTTTTTCACCACTATTTTGATGTACATGCAAAACCGCCACACTGGTTAATCAGTGCATGCAACAAAACATGTTATACCGCCATTCCACTTCTACAAATGCATAAGTTCTATCTGGTTCGAACGGTGTATAAAAATCAACTGTCAATGCGGAATCAAACATGTCACACAGATAGTTAAGTCTGATATTTTGGTAAAAAGACGTTTGCCTACAACTGTTTGTGGAAATGTCTACCTCAAGAATGTAGAAATATCACCGTCACCTCCAACTTCTACAATGCTATCAAAGTCTGTTTAATGTTAACTCAGCATTAATTTTATCATCATATCTTATTCCATATACATGTATAAAGATATCTTTATTCATTGTTGTTTATTAATATGAAGCAAGATATTTTAAGAGATGAGTTACGCATCCTCTGATAGGTGGGTTACATTTACGGAAATGGTATTTGGCATCAGCTTATGTCGTAAATAAGCATATTTGTCTCCAAAATTAATTGGAACAATCCGAATGTTAAGCTTCATTTAAAAGAAATGCGTATTCGAATTTATATATCGTATATATGACCGTCATAGAAAATGTTTATTGTAGTTCGTATAAACAAAACATTCTTGAAAGTATCCAATTTTGCTGCACGAATTGTGACTGGTCTAAACTATCACAAACTTTTTTCATGAAATCGTCTGGATCTCACTCGCAGACAGAAGAAATCTGCAAATATTAATTCTAGCTTTTAAGCATAACAAAAGTGAGCTTCCCTGTTATATGAATGATACCTGTACATAAACAGTTCGTAATACCAGAACTTATAATCTAAGAAACAAAAGCAATTTTGGAACTGTTATCCAATGTCTGGAAATTAATTTATGATCACTTACATTTTATTGAACGATTTAGATCTGGATACTCAAAATGTTCGAAAGATTTTATCTTTCAAAACCAAAATAATTTTTTCGCAACCTTTAGTTTTTAATTATCATCCTTTTATGTCTTAAACTAATCTTTGTAAATGACAAACAGCCTCTATTTTTTAACAAAGTTTGAATTAGTTTACATAAGTGAATTATTAAGCGGGAAACATTAATGTGGCGCGTCTTCCTTCCTTCCTTCCTTCATTCCTTCATTCATTCATTCATTCATTCATTCATTCATTCCTACTTTCTATCTCTCTTTTTCTTACCTTTTCTTTATTGTATCTTTCTAAAATTATGATAAGTCAGCATTTGCTTTAACCATTTCCTGTTTTTTAAGTATCATGATATTGATAACTAATCTGTAATATTTACTTAACATGTTAAATTCAACAAAATTTATGCACATCTTTTTACTATTTTTGGGATAAACTTAACTTGGAAGGACTGACCCTCTAATGCTGTTGAAACTTGAAGCTCGACCATTTTGCTTGTTATAAGCAAACACAATATTCGTATTAATATGGAACTTATTCTTTAATTGTTTGCTTTATGAATGTATGTGAACTAGCATTCGTTTTGTATAAAACCGAGTAGCTGGATTACCACCTTATCTGATTCTAACCCTTGGTTAACTTGAATACATATGTGCCGAGTCATGACAAAACCAACATAATGGGTTTGCGACCAGCATGGATCCAGACCAGCCTGCGCATCCGCGCAGTCTGATCAGGATCCATGCTGTTCGCTATCAGTTTCTTTACTTGTTATAGGGTCTGTAATCCTGATCAGACTGCGCGGATGCGCAGTCTGGTCTGGATCCATGCTGGTCGCAAACACATTATGTTGGTTTTGTCATGACGCGGCTCAATAATGTGAAATTATACTACCCATAACACTATAGTAGCTAAGCATTGTAGCATTGCATTAAACAGACGTTTTTATTGTCTTATTTGAGACAGAATATTAGAAGTAAACAAAAGGCATCAAATCAAGGAACACCGAGGAAAAGAAGGTAATAATTTGTTATAGCATCTGAAAACAATACTATAATAGTAATAAGAAACCAAGCAAATGTTTATAGAATAATATTTTAATATTCTAAATAGTGATGATGTAATCTTTTGAGTAATAAAGAAATCTGGTTTTAACCATACATTTATATTGTATATATTTACTTTCGATTAATTCTGAATTTTTGAGAAAAAAATTGCCTTCTATATCACATAATTATGCAAATACTACGTTCTGTATAATGTTTATAGTGATGCAACAAAGAAAGAATACCTGACAGGTCATGTGAAACACTTTAAAGAAATATTTGATAACCCGTGGGCTGAAGCTCATGACGCTTTAAAAAGCCATGGTTTCAGTGATGAAAAGATTATTGCAGGGATACTTCGTGAAGTAGTAGAGGTAAATTGTAAATATATCATGACAATTGGAATACTTAGGCTATATTCGTATTAGACATGTAAGCCAAATAAATCGGTTGATTTGAAATATTTTCCTTGACTTTAAGATTGTTGAAATGGAAATCGATATTTGCTTGTTATAATCACTGGAGTATAGATGATAATGCAGTTCATACATATGAACATATAAAAGAGTAATTAATGTATACTAACTTAAAAAAGCAAGTAAGGAAATAGATCTATGTGATTATTATTTAAGATCAATCATTTTGTTTTGATTTTGATATGAAACAAATGTTATTTGGCATTTGATTTTAAAGCGGTATGCTTGTATATTCAGTCTATATTTTGTGGCATTTGTACGTAAAGGGTAAAGATTTTATTTTTTTAAAAATTGGCAGCTAACATAAGGCAATGCAATAAGACATATTGCTTACCTAAAATGGGGTAAAATATGCAGAAAAGATCATTTGGGTAAAGATTTGGTGATAACAATAGGAAATTAAGATCGTTTTTTTTTTGCGATTGGGGTCATATAAAAATGTGAACCATTATATCCAGTGTAATATGTATACATTTCTCAAATTCTATTTACAACTTATTGATAATTTGAAACTTTGTTCTTTGATCTTGTGGTAAGTATACTTCAATTTAATAATACTATTGTTGGCGGGGGTATTTAAAATATGTTTTATTTTTGGATGTGATATAGGGGGCCCCTTTTAAACCAAATGAATAAAAGGATGATCCCAAAGGGAGTAAATTAAAAGAAGCCAACGATGCGCTGACCTAATTGCAAAAAAAGGAAAGGAGATATGTTTAAATTTAAAATTTTTGATTTTTTGAAAAAAAAAATCTTTTTTTAAACAGTATGTGTTTCATAATTTTATCTATCAGATATGTCCATGTATATATTTTTTAACCTCCGACTATTTTCATAGTACATTTATACATACAACATACACATATCTTAATCAAAAAAAGGTACCATGCACTCAGAAAAAATCTGTTTAATTTGCGCTCTCAAAAATAAATGCCAGAGTAAAGTTTATTCCCTGAGCTCTGTCCTGATACTCACAAAAAGATTGATACTCACAAGAAGACTTAATTAAACGAAATTTGCATATTATCCTATAGCAATGAGCTGCTTTCTTATCGGCCATTTCGGGAATTTCAATTGTCGTTCAACTGTCGTTGGCATTTTTGTCTATTAAAATTTCCCTCACCCACCTCCTGTTTAAAGTTTCATATAATCAGATAGTTACAGATAAAATTCGTGTATCATAATTGACTGCTATGAAAGACCACCGTATATTCATTATGTTTTTTTAATATTTCTAAAGTTAAGTTTTATAACAATGTATTACGTATTCTGTTAAACTTTTAGTGCTAGGGGTGTGAGACATGTTGCACTTTTCTAATATCCCTTATGAACAGACTCAGCCAAACCAAGTCTGCAGTGTTTATGTACTTCTATTGTTTTATTCACTTCCTAAGGATCTCGCTTTTTTCCAATAATTTTTATTTCTTCACAACATCAGATAAAAAAATGCCGTGTTTGGCCCGCCCCTTTTCATTTTTAAAATGTTGTTTTTATTTTTCTTGGTCCCCTTTTGGGGGGTCTTCCAGCACATTTAGTTTTTTGAAGATTGAAAAACCCCGGGTTTAAAAAAGGGTTTTTTGTGCCCCAAAAAACGTGGGGGGATGGGTCATAATCCAATTATCCCTTAAAATTTCATATTGAAAAATTTGTTCAAACCGTCGTCAAAAAATTTTTTTGTAAATTTTGGGGGTTTTTACTGTTTTAGGGATATCTCCGAGATTTATTTTACATACTAGTAAATAGTGACATACGAATGTTTTTAAAGCTAAAAATACATATTTTTATATTTTCATTAAAGGTTAAAGATGATGTGAATAAAATTGAGGGCAACATAGCTGAAGAAATAAGAGCGTATAGAAAATCTTCAAAACTGATCCCTGCAATACCTCCCTGCCCTTTTAAGGTATTAAATTAATAAAGAAATTATCAAACTCCCCATTCCATACAACTTTCCAAAAAAGCCCCAATAAAAGCCGGGGAACACTTTTTTTTGTCCATTGACCAGCCCTTTTTATAAGGAAAACTTTGAAAGTGTTTTTAACCCAAGGGAAAATTTTGAAGTGAACAGGGGAAAGAAATTTAAAAATTGCCCAAAAAGGCGCTTACAATTTTCACGTTAAATACCCAAAAAAAAGGTCAAAATAAAGCCCAAAAAATAACCGGGACTTGTTATATTTCTTTTCTTTGGTACATCTTTCTTCAAATTTAATTTAATCATCCTTTTTTTTAAAGACAAAGTTTAAAAAACAACCGTAACAAGGTAAAAAAGTAAAAAATTTTCCCCGGGAAATGCAGCAATGTGATTGTCACGCCGCGAAAAAAGAAAAAAAAAATAAAAAAAAAAAACAGTTAAAGTATAATGTTAAGGTATCTCCAAATAGCATTGAGTTTAATTGACAGGTTTTTTAACTCACCTTTTTTAAGAAGGTTTTAAGTATTGTAATGTAACTTGTTACAAGAGCCCATGCATATGTAGTTAGAGCAGAATAATTTAGTCATTCTTTGTGTATACATACTTCTTGCAGTGAGATCTATCCACATATGAAGTTTCATGTTGATATCTCAAAGGCTTTTGTAGGTTATGCTCTGGACGAAATTAAGTATGAAAAGGAACAAAGGCGATATACTGAAAAAATAATGCCACCGGTAGGTGGTGCTGCCGCACTCCTCCTCAATGAGATTTACTCCACCTAATTGAAAGTTTCACGTTAATACCCTCTAACACTGTTTAGAGATAAGCTCGGCGACAAAAAGTTGAAAAAATAACAAAAGGGCAATAACTCAAAAATTATAAAAGGGGTTATCATTCTTGCGCCACAACATTCCTCCTCAAATAAAGATCAATCCCACCAATGAAGTTTTCATGTTTAACACCAAAGACCTTTTGAGTTATGCTCCACTCAGGTGAAAAATTAAGTATGAAAAAGTACAAAGAGGGCAATTACTCCCAAAAACTATGAAGGATAGAGTCATCACTTTTTTGCCCACGGCCCACACCTCCTTGAGTGAGATGGCTTTTTGAGTTTATGCTCTGGACAAAAATTTTTAAGTTTGAAAAATAACAAAGGGCCAATAACTGCAAAAATTATTGTAGGTAGAAATCATCATATGTTGTGCCCACTGCACTTCTCCTAAATATGCATTTATCCACCTATGAAGCCTTCAAGTTGATACCTTCCCCAAAGTTTTTTTTAAAATAAAAGGGTCCGGGGCTAAAAATGGAGGAAGGACAGAATTGGGGGGGGAAGGGGCAGGCGGCGGGGGGGCACGGGGGACTAATTTTTATATCCCCAACCACCTTTTCGGCGGGGAAATTTAAAAAATTAAAGAAGGGTAGAGTTATCACCTTCCGAGTAAAATCTATCCCCCCTAAAAATTTTTTGTTTATTTTAAAAAACCTTTGTAGTTATCTCTGGGGACAAAAATTAAGTATGAAAAAATTTACAAAGGACAATTTAAATGAAAAAAACCAAAGGGACGGTTTGGGTTACATTCTTGGGTTGGGTGCCCAATTCCCCCCTCAATGAGAAAAATTTTTTATCCACCTATGAAGTTTAAGTTATTCCCCCCCCAACACTTTTTAATAAGCTCTGGACAAAAAGTATGAAAAAAAACAAATTTTCCCCAAAAACTCAAAAATTATAAAGGGTAGAGTTAACATTTTTTGTGCCCTAACATTTCCCCCGTTAAAAAGATATATCCACCTATGAAGTTTCATATTTACATTTTAAAAAACTTTTTTTAGAGGGTATCCCCCAAACCCGGTGAAAAATTTAGTATGGGAAAAAAAAAAAAGGGCAAAAACCAAAAATTTTAAGGATCAAAAATTTACCCTTTTGCATTGGGAAAACCCCCTGAAATGAATCTATCTAATATATGAAAGGGTTTTATGTTGGGTATATCAAAAGGCTTTTGGTAGTTTAACCCGGACCCAAAAAAAATTTGTATGAACAAAAACAAAGGGGAATAACTGAAAAAAAATGCAACCGCCTTTGCGTTTTTCACTCTTGGTTTTGCGGGATCCTCCTCAATGACGCGTCTATCACCTATGAAGTTTCAAGGTGTTACCTCTAACACTTTTTGAGATGTGCACCACTCCAGGTGAAAAATTTAGTATGAAAATAACAAAGCTGGCAATAACTCAAAAAAATATGAAGGGTAGAGTTATCACCTCCCTGAGTAAATCTTACCTCTAACACTTTTTGAGATATGCTCCGACAAAAAGTATGGAAAAATAACAAATGTCAATAACTAACAAGCAGGGCCATGATGGCCTATAGATCGCCTCCACCTGACTTATTCAAAACTCATCCAAACAAATTACCTTAGACAAGCATTCCTGACCCAAGTCTCATGACAGGTCGAGCTCAAAAATGTGGACCAACTACAGTGTTAACAAGGATTATCCATATTTGAGCAGTGCCCGACCTAGTTTTTTACCCAGGTGACACATATTCAAACATTGACCTTAGAAATCATCCAAAAACAAACTTTCAAACCAATTTCCAGGATACTTGGATCAAAAACAGTAGCAACTACAGCTGTTAACAAGATTTTTCTATTTTTAGCTCCCCCGGTGACCTAGTTTCACATGTTGATTTCGAACTCCTCCAAGCAATTATCCTAGACAAGCTATCCTGACCAAGTTTGATGATAATTGACGTTGAAAATGTGCACCACTAGAAGTTAGAATGAACAGAATATTTGATCACAACAGTTACGAGGCGTTTAACAAGATTTTCTATTTTTTAGCTCCTGTTGACCTAGTTTTTCATATCGAGATGACCCATGTTCGATATATTCCCAGCAAAATGACCTAAAAGACAAGTTTCCTGACCAAGTTGATGACAATTGAGTCAAAATTGTGACCCACTAGAGTGTTAACAAGGTTTTTCTATTTTTTAGCTCCTGTGACCTAGTTTTTCATCCGAGATGACCCATGTTCAAACTCATCCGAGCTATCACCTAGACAAGCATTTTGACCAAGTTTGATGATGATTGATGCAAAAATGTGACCGCTAGGGGTGTTAACAAGGTTTTTTCTATTTTTAGCTCCGGTGACCTAGTTTCTCATCCGAGATGACCCATGTTCGAACTCATCCGCAGCTATCAACTAGATAAGCATCCTGACCAAGTTTGATGATGATTGGAGGCAAAATTGTGACCTCTAGAGTGTTAACAAGGTTTTTCTATTTTTAGCTCTGGTAACCTAGTTTTTCATCCGAGATGACCATGTTCCGAACTCATCCGAGCTTTCAGTTAGACAAGCATCTTGACCAAGTTTGATGATGACTGATGCAAAAATGTGACTGCTAGAGTGTTAACAAGGTTTTTCTATTTTAGCTCCGGTGACCTACTTTTTCATCCGAGATGACCCATGTTCGAAACTCATCTCAGCTATCAACTAGATAAGCATCCTGACCAAGTTTGATGATGATTGATGCAAAAATGTGCCGCTAGAGTGTTAACAAGGTTTTTCTATTTTTAGCTCCGGTGACCTACTTTTCATCCGAGATGGACCCATGTTCGAACTCATCCCGAGCTATCACCTAGACAAACATCCTGACCAAGTTTGAT